GCCCAGCACCTGCCCAAGGAGGAAGAGTAACATCAATAAAGCTCCTAGCTATGAATACAGGTTAGTTTGGAACAGTTCTTTTATTCTCTTTCTTCCATCCTGGGGTCTAGCTACAGAATGCAGTAGCTCTTGGAAAAGGGATGACAAATGCAGGGGTAACATGTTCTCCTCATGGAAGGGCAGACTGGGACAAGTGGAGCCCAGATTGCAACACCAAAGATTTTCTACCCTAAGGCTCATCCACTCTCCTCTTCACTTCTCCTCTCAAACAAACAAAAAATCACTTGGGCTTTGATGCTCCCTTTTCAAGTATGAATTATAGCTAAAGTTGCTGATATTCCCAAAGAAGTATGAGATCACAGGGGAAAATATTACAGCATCTAAGGAGTATAATTTCATAAAAAAATTGTTAGAACACTGGACAATTTGTACTAGAGAAGCAGAATTAATGGACAAAAAAGTGATACATTTTAAACGAGTAAAAGAAATACCTACAAAGACATAAGAGAGAATATTGTAAAGCTGAAGATACTGGTTATGAAAAAACATATCAACTGAAATGAATTTAATGGATGGGTTGACTATTTGATGGATTGGATACCATCAAATAACATATTAGTAAGGTAGAAATTAGGGAAATCTCCCAGAAAATATCTGGAAACAATAAAGAGGTGGGGAAAATAAAATTAAAAGATATGCAGAGAATCCTGCTAACAAAACCCGCGATTTGGGCTATTAAGAAGGATTGATAGAATAAAAGTTATGCCTTCTGTTCTACAGGAAACCTATCTGGATAATCCACACCAGTATAAGAGCCATCATATACTGAGTTTGTTTCAGTCACTGCTAGCTTATTTCCAGGCACGATTCCATTTGATCTTCACAGTAATACTAAGAGATTTGTAATACCATCATTTCTAGTGCATAGGTGAAGAACTGAAGCTTGTTGAGGCGTAACATATGCATCCCATTTTTATACGAGATTAGAGTTAATCCTTCATACAGATCGGGGTGGGTCTTCCCATTCCAAGATTCGGGTTCGGCTTCTCTCCGGATTCTAGAGTCCAAGTCAGGCGCAGAGGGTGGGGCGGAGGCGGCCGCTCCAGGGCAAATGTTGGGCAAAGCCCGCCCTGAAGGCGGGACCACGGTGGGGCGTGGCCTCACGCCAATTCTCTCCGAGGATCTGGGCGGGACCTCCGCAGGGCCGTAAAGATCTCTCAGAGTCGTGAAGTGGCGTGGCGCAGAAGCGTTGCTTTACGACGCCTGGAGCAATACGCCGGGTCGGCGTTCCCGGCCTGTGACTTGCAGTAGCACGTGGGCCTCTGTAGTTCTTCCCGCTTGTAACTCTTACCTGCGGGCGTGGACCAGCCACCTTGACGGATAGAGTGGCAGCCGAGGCCCAGGCTCGTGAGCTGATGGATTTTGCTGCTGAAAATGAAGCCACGTCGGGAGGCGGTCTCC